GACGTTTGATTTGTTGAACTAGGTTATGTATAAATATATATATATATATATATTATATATATATATATATATTTATATATATATATATATATTTATATATATATAAGCAGAGAATATGGGAATGTGTTATGAGTACATGAAAATGAAGATAAGAATTCTATGTGATAAGAAGTAATATGTGATGCTCGTATACAGTAACTTATTGTTATGTTAAAAAATAGTGTGCTTATTATTGTAAACGTGTATGTATTGAAATATGAGCATGAATTAATTGCATGGTCGTTTGGTGGGAGTTTGCTTGGGGAGAAAAGTAGATAAATCTAAGCGGTATTTTATGAGCTCCTTTTGATAATCGAAGGCTAGCCTTATCACATTATTTGTCGAGAGATTGTCCCATTATCTGTCAAGGAATTTCAACCTAATTATCTCCACCAATTGGCTGAGGAGAATAGCCTAGAATTTATGACACCCCAGTGATTTGAAAATGGGGAAAATCATAGTTCGAAAGTGAGTGTATTAATATTTGGCCTGGTCACTTTTCACAATTAGTGAACTTGAATAGTTCATTTTCATGAATGGAATCTTAATTGATTTATAGCCCATAGTTTCAGTTGAATGAAATAAGGAGGAAGTGATCATGCATTATTATCCGACATGTCATATGATTGTTAAGTTTATGGCAAGTCGTGATAATTGATTTTGCCATTATTATATAGTTGTTATATTTTTGGCAATGTACATTGTTGTGTTTGATTGGGTTGTTGTTATATGGTTAATAGTATTGTAACAGTGTGTCTTGTGATATGGTCTGTGGAAAATAAAAATAAGATAAAGTTTGTAACTATAAAATGTGTTAGGTATAATTGAATGTATATGAGTATTTGTCTCTCATATTTGTTTGTTGTTAGTTAATATGCAATTACATAGGATCGCCGTACCTTAATTATTAAGTAATTATACTCATCATTCTCTTTATATTTTACTAACTTTAGTTTGCATGCGGGTAAGGGAAAAGCTTTGGAGGTTTAGAAATTTCATTATTCCTGTTGTAAAACCTCATAGACTTGTCTCTTGTCTAATTAGATAATATTTCCAACTAGAGAATGTTTTGCATCTACTTGCACTAAATGATAGTTATAATTGACTATGGCATTTTGCATGTACTTGCACTCGTGCAAATATAGGGATGACATATATATATATATATATATATTGTTTGTCTATAAGAATATTGATTTAATGCAAATGATTGACTTCCCCCGTTGTTTTTTATATTGAGGGGTTGGGGCTTGAAAATGGATATTGATTGTTATTCCTTTTATTCAACTTTCTAAGAGACATTTATAATTTTTAATGCACATAGGGACTAAATACTTTTTATCCCTCACTAAATGCATTTTAGCGAGAGGTTATTAAAAACAGTTACCTCGCTAAATTTATCAAGCCATTTTTTAATAGTGAATTTAGTGAGAAACATAATCGCTCACTAAAATGCAATCAATCCCTTGCCAAATTATAATTTGTTGACATTTTAGTTCCCATATACCCTTTTTTTTTTGGACATTTTGGTTCCTGTATAGCCACACAACTAATTGTCATTCAAATTTTTAATCACAACAATATTAAAAAAATTTAATATTACATTAATCATAATTACAAAGTTCAAACTAGTTCTCATAGAAAGTTGAATAAAATATAAAGGAGTATATAGAAAGTTCAAAATATAAACTATTTCATCAATATGAATAGTCATAAGAGTATGAGCACTCTCACGAAAATTAGTCAACTTTCTTGATTTCTCAATTATGATGGTTGACTTGTACTCACTTTCTATCAAAAAATTTTCTTTCGCATACTCAAAATTAGTCATGCTCACAACTTTAACACCATCCATTGCAGTCTTGACAACATCAACATTCACCAAGTTAGCAAGCTCTGCACCAGAAAACCAAGGTATCCCCCTTGCAATGGTCATTATATCAACATCATCAGCCTTTAGAGCCTGTTACAAGGCATTGCAATTGCAAATAGGTAAATTTTATATTAAAACATGTCAGCTCATAAGATATAAAAGTGAAGAAAATAAAAGGAGAAAGCTTTACCAACAACTCTTACTTAGCCCCACATGCGATTGCAATTAATGTAACAAGTTTAAACTTATCAGAAAGTTGGTGCCAATTTTTTTGAGTGCAACCTCATACACACAAATATCAAAGGGATACACTCAATCATCATAACTTAAAAAAAAAAGGCATTCTAGAGGTTTGCACTGCCATAACGTGTGACGATAAGCCATCTAATCCAAGCCAAAAAAATGCTTCACCAGAAGAAAAAATCATACCCTTAGATGCGAGGGATTTAAGAACTTGCCACCTTCTTTCTACATCTGGAAGAGGTGTAAAACTTACATGTCAAATTGTAAAGTCAACCTTACTAGTTTATGATTAATTAAAACCCAAGACAATCATTGGACTAATTCAAATTATTACCAAGTTTGTAATTATATAAAAATGGGATTCCAAATTTTCATAATTCAAAATTTTTTAAACATCAATTAATACACATCAAATCAAAGTAAAATATTATTACAGAATTTTAAACTTATATAAATAAACAAGTAAAATATCAAGAAACTCTATTAGCCTAAATTATGTAGACAATAAGAAGAAAATGAAAAGGAAGAGAAAATATCAATAAACTTGCAAAACTACATGAGATAAGAACTAAATAAAAGCCAAAGGAAAATGGCTGAATTTAGAATGGGTAGATGACAAGGAAAAAGATGAAAAACGAGGAAGGAATAGTACCTACAATGCTTATGATTTGCCTAAGAAGATATCATTAGAGGATCCAGAATCCTAGAAAGATAGTAAAAACAAAGTCAAGTTACTCCAATACACATACACAATTAGGCATACTTACTTATAGAAAAGAGGGGAAGGAACATGAATTGAAGTTAGAAAATAAAGAAAGTGAATCCTAAAACACAAAAGTAATGCACAGTAAAAAAAATTAAAAAAGAAGAATGAAGGATGAGAAAGAGAGAATTGGAGGAACTTGTGACTAGGGTTTGATGAGTGAGGTGAAAATGGAGAAGGAAAAGAGTGAAAGAGATTACAAGAAAGCACACTGAGGAGAAAAGTGTAATCGAATGAGGAATTGTGTTGAGTAGCGGCTTGACCAAAGAGACTATATGAGAGTAAAGAGTAAAGAGTAAGTGAAGAAAATTTCAAAGATTCAGCATGACCAGTGAAAGTTTGACAATGTCAGGAGAGGGATTTTTTTTAAAGAGAATGAATATTTAAGTGGAAAAAAAAGAGGAGGGAAAGTATAACTTTTGGCAACTGCCTCATATTTTAGGGCAAAAATAAATTAAGAGAAAATGAAAAATTTTATGTTTGGAAATTTTTGAAAATATTAATAAAATATAAATTTTTTATAAAGAAAATATCATAAAAATATCTTACTAATTATCTCAATTTAGATAGAGATAAAATCACCTTGCTAATTTTCTTGGTAATATAATTATATTATTTTATAGAGACATAAAAAATGCCTTAGTAATTATACATTTTTAGAGAGGCATAAATATCTCTCACTAATTTTCTTTCCAATTATATATTTTCACATAGGTATAAATATTTGTCCTTAACTAATTATTTTTTTTAAAGAGGAATTAAAAATCCGTCACTAATTTTTACTTAAGCTACAAAATCAATATTTCTCATTAATTTGGCATTTTAGAAAGGAATAAGCAATTTTTTGTTAAATTTTCTTACTAATTTAATTTTTTTTTAATAATGCTATCAACTTCAAGAGCTTTGAGATCCCATGCACCTAAGTCCTTTTTTATGGAAAATTACATACAAGTTCTACATAAGAAAATTAATCATCATAAGATCTATTAATAATTGAATTAAGGCTATTAAATGTGTTGTCAATTGTATTAATTCTGTTTTTATTGGATCTTATGGTAATTTTTTTTGTGTGTGGGATTATAACGTAATTCTCCCTTTTTTAATGGATGCATCAGCTTAAAAATTGGCAGTGTGTTCTTTTCCCAAAGAAAAATTAGTGTATTGTACGAGATTCATAATAGTCAAAATTAAATTTTAGAGACCCACGTGTATTCAACGTCAATTATCTTTCGAGCCACGCCACTTTATTTTAAAAATGAAAAATTGATTATTGGGTCTTGAATTATCGCTATCAACTAGTATTTCTTTTGGTAAACCACTATCAATTAATATTTTAGCATCAAGCAGATAATTTTTCATAGCAAGATGCCACATTCATCTTTCTCGTGTTTAGAATAACAACACTCGTTTATAAAATATTATTTATGAATGCGTGCTCTTACTAGTGTTTAGAATGCACAATGAACACCCACACACGTAAATACATATGATACAATCATGGATTCGTTCACGTGTTCATAATTTTTTTTTTTTGGATTATACACGTTTTCATAAATTTTAACAATCAACTTAACGTTGTGTTGCCGTGAATACAAGTTGAAAAAAAAAAAAACTCAAACAACGAATAGATGAGAGGTTAAAACAGTGACTAGATGAATGTGTTTCAAGGAGTTTAAATTGTATTATTTATAAATTTATAAATTATATTTCCTTTATTAAAAATTATGAAATATTTTTTAAAAAATTAAATGTTAAAAAATGTAAGATGTTTTTAATTTTTAGATATGTAATTATTATTTTTTTAAAAGTACTGTTATTAGAAAATAATTTTATATTTATTATAGAGTATTTAACAAGAATAAATATAAAAAAATAATGTTAGTTTGAAAGGAGGTAACTATTTTTTTAAATAAAATTTAATTAAAAAATTTTATATTTTTAAATGAAAGGAGTAATATTAAAATTTTGACAAATCATATACATTTGATAAAAATTATATATATTGAAATTAATATTGATATATTATTGATTATTTATCCCACCGGCCCATGACAATTCACTAATCCTTGTCCACGATACATCGAATAGAAGTTTTGGGTGCGCTGCTCCGCTTGTACGGTTCTTCACGTCACCGAACGTCCGGTCGTCCAGTGCGCCGAGGGCATAATCGGTAATCAAATGACAGTCACGTGACGTTCTCCGCTATCTCTCCTCTCTCTGCCCAGTCTGGTTCCGTTCACCTACTAGTCCTATCCAATTGTCTTGAGCAGATTTTCCTTCGTCCAGAAGATTATATATTTCATACGCCCAACAACCTTCGTCGGGATTCTCACAGACGGCCGTTCGTGACGGCGGAGGCAGGCTGTAATCATCGTCGGAGCACAGCCACACTGTGCGAGTTAGTTTTCCATGTTGCCTTGTACTTTTTTGTTGAACTATGCTAGCTAGTTTGCCCTAATGTTGGTTTATTTTAAAAATGTATATCAGACAAAAAAGAAAAAAGGAAAAAGAGATGTACATGAATTTTTCTTGTTTTTACTTTTGATTCGGGTGTGTTTTCTTTGAATGATAAACGCTCGGTTTGGTTGTTGAATTACTATATTTGGCCATAACATTTGGATTGAGGTCTTCATTTGGTTGTCTTGCTGATCAATATGTCCCTCGTATTACACAGAGCATGGGAAAGAGGAGATGGTTAATGCTGGCTACTTGTTTATGTCTGATAACCTTTTCGGATGGGAGAGGTGAGAGTGGCGCTTGTACTCGAACACTCTTGCAATATATGCTCTCTAACTTTCTTCTTTCTCTTTTTTATTTTTCAATTATTTGGATTAACAAGCCTTTCTCCATCTGTCAAGGATGGGGGCTCCGATGGAGAATCTTACTTAGTGGTAATGTGATTTGGAGAATCTACTTAGAGTTTATACTTTCAGGTAGCTCTACTGTTGGTTGGAAATTCAGATTAGTTGGGTAGGTGTTGTTGGATTAACCTAACTTGGCGTCATATTAAATTTCTTTCCAGTATAGTGACTCCCTTTCTTTAGGATTCTGAATGAGTAGCAACGAAATGATCCATTTTAAATCAAAAGTCCAAAGTCCATCTTAAAAGGTTATAGGTTTTAGGAGTGGTGCATGTTCCTCAGATTGGGGAAATTTGAAACAGTTCAAAATTTGTCATCGGTCTTTTAACATTCGCATGAATTTTGGAAGGATTATTTGATTCATGGATGGGAACAGAGGACAGTATCTGTAATTTTTCCCTCTCAAGAAATTGTTAATAGTCACTTGATTTATTGTGCACCTGTTGTCCTTCCCACGATACTTATTTTTTCAATTTGCAGAACTCAAGGCGAAGCATGTAAATCCGTATTCACTGTACAACCATACACTTGCTACAATATTAGTGCAATATGCTTCTGCGGTGAGTTCCATGTAGATATTGTACATTCACCTTGAGCAATATATATGAGAAAACACATCATTACCCATGATTATCATGCAGTCTACATGTTTCATTCTTGTTCTATGTCTGCTAATCTTATTATGTAAGGTCAATTTGGATTGTTATGAACACTGATATGGGAAGTCAATATCTCTAGCATGCTTTTGCCCTTTTCAAACACCAAATTGATTTAATAACGGAGGAACTATCTCACATGCTTTTCCTGATTCAGAGATTGCCAAACTTGGCCAGGCTATGCGTCATGATAAGTTAACCTAGGGTTAGCTGACATGTAACTTGATTTTGAGTCACATCACTTGTCACTTGATGTAATCAATCTATACTTGCTTTACATGCGTTGGCCTAACTTCTGCATTTTAAGGCAAATTGTCCGGGAATTCTGTATGAAAACGCTTGATTTTGAGCCCTGAAGTTCCTTTTTGCAGGTTTACTTGACAGATTTAACAGAACTTTTTACTTGGACATGCTCTAGGTGCGATGGTTTGACCAAGGTGTTGGAAATATCACTGAATGATAACCTTACTTGTTAAACTTAGTATCCAACTTAATTTTTGATTGTTTAAGTGATTCTATATTTGATCCTTTGATCTAAAGAACTTTTGATGGAAACAGGGATTTGAAATTATAGAGTTGGTTGTTGATGTTCAACATTGCTTACAGGTAGATTCTTATCACTATTGACATGCTCCTTTAACTTCTAGAATTTGTTCATTCTCTTCAATGTCCTCTTTCTTTCATGAAATTTGTTATAAAGGATACATGCTATCTTTGTTCTTAAGCTAGTACCACTAACTGATTCAGGGGTTCGTTGGCATTGCAAAGGATCCCGATGCCATTATCATTGCATTCAGAGGAACACAGGAAAGCAGGTGGATTTTATTCCTGGCTAAATTTGTTTCCTTTGTCGCATTATAGGCTTACCATGTTTCTGGAGAAACTATAAAGTTCACCTACTTGAGTTGTAGTGCTTTTATATGATGCAATGACAGTTGTGCATAGATGTGGAGAAAATTTAGGATCGAGAAAGAATTTCTTTTTGTTTTCAGATGTTTAGGGGGAAAAAATTTATCAGCTGACATGCAGTTGCCTGTGAACAACTTTTACCATGCAGGAGCATGGAGGCTTAGAAAATGTATTTAATTGGATTAACTTTGCTTGTAATTTGTGATTCAGATAGCAACAGTCATTGACTTGTCATCTGGATTGATTACAGTTCTTGAAATAATGCAAATGATTATTTTTATGGTTTTTCATGTCTAAGACTTTGAACGTTGGAAATTGTTTTGATTGCTTGATATGTTCGCCTTTATTCATCCTTTAAGAAAGTCATAGAGCAAACATTTTTTCATTGGAAGCAAAGATTTTGTCATAAAGAACATGTGCCCATTCAAGTTTGTTCAATCCTGTTGCAATGTTTGTGATATTTTTGGGGCAGTTTTATATTCTGAGCTGATGGGGACATTATTTTTGTGTACAGCATACAGAACTGGATTGAAGATTTATTTTGGAAGCAGCTTGATATAGATTATCCTGGCATGTCTGATGCAATGGTGCCCACTGCTAAATTTTCAATCTTAATTTATGCTCTGTAGTAGAGGATGCCAGTTTTGATATATCATCATTTGCTTCAGGTACATCGTGGATTCTATTATGCATACCACAATACGACATTGCGACCTGCAATTTTAAATGCTCTAGAAAGAGCAAAAAAGGTTTACGGAGATACTAAAATTATAGTTACGGGGCACTCTATGGGTGGAGCAATGGCTTCTTTTTGTGGACTTGATTTAGTGGTAATTGTAATCTAGTATTCTTGAAGCTCGATTAATGCAGTTTTTATGGACTCATCAAAACACGATATGCCCTTCAAAAACAAAGTTTCTGGCAAGTCAGTGAATAATTAGTACTTTTTTAAATATTTTGTGTGCATGTGTGCGTGTATTTAAGTTATCTATAAATTAATTAAGTTAATTTCCTGACTTCTTGTATTTTCATGAAGAACATTATCATACTTCTCAGTTCTCACCTCATGATTTTCCTACTGTGTGAGGGAGAAATGGTTACTTGCTTTCCTTTTATGTGTCTACAGGTCAATCAAAATGCCCAGGACGTACAGGTTATGACATTTGGACAGCCCCGTGTGGGCAACGCTGCTTTTGCATCTTACTATAACAAGCTTGTACCCAATACAATCCGAGTCACAAATAGCCATGATATGGTTCCACACTTGCCTCCATACTATTATTATTTCCCCAGGAAGACATATCACCACTTCCCGAGAGAGGTAAAGCTTGGCCAATTGAATTCATAAAATTTGTATATTAATCCTGCCATAATATCCCCTTTTTGTGAAGGGGCGTTCTTATAGCTGCAGAATCCAGACCTTTTAATGTTAATATGAGCTCTCTCTAATGCTGTAAATACGTCCAAGGATTTACTCTTGCTATATCCTGGCAATCACATGATCTATCACATCTCTGTTCCTAACGATACTTTCCAACTGTTGGGAAGGAGATCATTTTTCCTTCCCCTTGTTTGGATGTTTAAATAATATACTTTTAGAAATTAATCTTTCATTAACATGATTAATTGTAATAATTTGGTTTATTGATATTATAATCTTAAATAATGAATCGATTATACTAATGATTGGTTTCTCATCCAAAACTACCAAACTGGAGGAACTTTAGAATATAAAAAGTGGATGATGTTTTAGAAATATAGGATTGGTGAATATGACGTTGAAAACAGTGTTGGTTTACTAAATTTTAATGACATTTTTGAGTTCGTACTTTTATTTGGTGTGATTTATTTGACGCCAAGCTCTCTTGTGCCTTCTCAATCTTGTCTTTTGGCAACTTGGAAGGCCACATTACCTTGGCTATGTTCTATCTCTCTTGGTAGGAGTCTGCAAAATGTAAGTTCTTTGCTAGTTGGTCATCAGATTAAGAAGTTAGTCTGGACTGCAGGTGTGGCTTCATAACGTTGGATTAGGAAGTCTTGTTTACAGAATCGAGAAGATTTGCGATGGATCTGGAGAGGATCCATCTTGTAGCAGGTAAATCGTTTTGTTTTTTCATGAAAAGTTTCGCTGCCGCATAGGATCAGATGGATGATATAAAACTAATAAAATCCTGCTTCTCAATCCATTCTCTTCTTTCGATGAGTGGGAGGAATTGCTAGCTATAGCTTTGGTCCCACGGAAGAGTTATTCTCAATTAAAAAATCTGCTCAAAATTGATATTATCTTGTGCAGGTCAGTGAGTGGGAATAGTATCTTAGACCACTTAGAATATTATGGTATTCAAATGGGTTCTGGAGAGCCAGGGACCTGCAGGATTGTGATGGGTCCTCAAGCTTCGGATAATAGCATCAGAGATTCAAATGGAAACATCTTCTTGTCTAGAGATCCTGCTTCTCCCCTTCAAGAATTGAGTTTTGAGTTTGATAATCAGGGAAAGCGGATTAGTGTTGAATGAATCAATTGTTGGAGGAAGTAATTCTGATTTATTCGTTCGGCTCCGTCCCCCCCTCCCCCCCCCCCCCCAAAAAAAAAGGAGGGATCTATTCTTTCGGCAAGGTCCCAAAAGGCATGAGCCATAAAGATGGCCTAGGACTGGAGTGAGTTTGTGTATATAGTTATGTAATCTTGTATATCTTCATCCTCTATAAAGATCTAAATGATTTAATTCATAAAATTCTCAATCTGAATAAAAACACAGACACAGACAGAGAGAGAGACACACACACACACAAATTCAAGCAAAAGTATGAACGGGCTAAATATGGGAAAATTTATTTATTTCTTAGTCGAATGAACAAATCCTATTATTGAAAAGCAGAAAAAGTATATTTAGTGTATAATTATACTTTGAATATGATTGTTTTTAAATAGAAAGATACTTGTATGTAATTAAAAAAAGCATAGCAAAGGCATTTTGTTTGTTTGTTCTGGGAAGGGGGGTTAAGTTGGCAGCGTTGCTTCATATCATTTGGACGCTGTCATGGTTCATATTATAAAATTAAAATCATGGTAGCATGATCATGGGTTTGACTTGTTTAGTTCATATTATTTAAATAAAATCCTGGTGACATGAGCATGGGTTTGGCTGGTTTATTCTCATTCTTCCAAATCTTTAGTGGGTAGCTTCACTATCATTCCTCGGCTACGGATTGTTGGCGTGATGTAGTAAGCTAACGATTTTGCCGTTGGTTAAAATGTTATTTAGACCTTGAAATAAAAGAAGGCGACTTGAATCTTAAATTTGTATTTAATTCATTATGAACCCTAAAATAATAAAACTTAGGATAATTTTTATTAAAACAAATGTTCCTTACTTAATGTGCAATTTTTTTCCAAGAAGAGTAGGAAAAAGACAAATTGGAATTTGAGATCAATTGTAAGTGTGGCTTCATTTCTCTTTTTTAAGTAACAGATGTTTGTTTTGATTTAATGACAGAGACAAAATTGTCTCAAGTTTTATTGTTTAGGTTCAAAATGTACTAAAAATGAGTTTAAGATTCAAATTGTACTTGGATTTATAATTTAAAGTTTAAGTTGCATGTTATCCTCTTGCCATTTGCTTGCACAATGTTGTTATGCTTGCTAATATTTATCACAGCGTTTTAAATCCCCAGAAAAGAAGAAGAAAGGAATGAAGAACTGAAAGTTTCAGATTTTGTCGTGCATTACAATTTATAGTGAACCAAATGAAATATTACAATGAAGGGTCAACAAAAGCAAACGAAAGAACCAAGTCAATGAATGTCAACTCCAGCTAGCCTTGATCTCAGTTTGCCTTCACATCTTCGTTGCTCGACTGATTTTCTTTTTGGTCCTGCAGCAATACAATGATTTTTTTTTATATAATTTTCTTTCTCACAGACATGACTATAGACAGCTATAATGGTAGAGCAAATCTTTTTCGAGAACCCCACATACCTCTTCAGCTTTCAAATCCTTCTCTTCACCTTCAGAGGCTGGGACATTCGTTATGTCTTTGGGGGCTTCTTCCATGGCCATAATCCCTTCCTTTACACTGACGTCATCTGTTGACCATGCAAGAGCAAATTAAGATTGATAACCAGCAACTTATGGTTCACATCTTTAAGAAAGTTTCGGAAATTGATTCCAATGAACATGAAGTGTGATCATTCATAAAACTACTAAATTTGTCATCCTTGTATTTTCTCTCTCAATTATTAACTTTTTTCCCCCTAATTAAATGTCGACAGAGAAATGCATTAAAAATAACTAACACGTGATATTCTCATGTAAGAGATTCAAGTCTGAATATCACAACAATTTACAGAGTACCAAATTGACATACCTTTTCCATCATCAGTCTTTTTCTCTTCCACGACAACAGCATCATTCACTTTCTGATCATTCTCATACAACTTCAAGGCATCGTCTTCCTCACCTTGAAACTTCCCATCAGAAACTTCCTTCGGAAGAAGTCCCTCTTCCCTATCAACTCGATTGTTCTTTTTCTCTTCTTCCTTAACTTCTTCTTCCATATCTGCTCTCTCAGTTTTGCTCTCAACCTCATTAACAACAACACCAACTTCCTCGCTCTTCTCTACCACCTTTTCTTCTCCCTCCTTTGCATTCTCACCAGAAACAATTTCTTCACTTTTCTCTAATGCCTTTTCTTCTCCCACATTTACATTCTCACCTGCAACAATATCATTGTTTTTCTGCAATACTGTCTCTTCTGCAACACTTGCATTTCCAGTTTTGCTTTTCATCGCCCCATCAGAGTCAACATCATCAACTTTTCCTCCGACAACCTCGTTGACAATCTTGTCACCATCTTGCTGTACTTCCACCCTAGAATTCAGATTCACATCATTAACATTGCTGCTGTTGTCGTCTTTAGTTTGTGCCCCAATTTCTTGGTCCTTGTTACGTTTGACACTGGATTTCTTGCGCTTGAGGACAGTAGTATTTCCTGAAGCAACGTCGTGCTTGGATTTCCCACAACCCATTTTTGATTTATTTAATTGATTGATTGTAGGAAACACAGGCACAAAGCGAAGGAGACAAGGAATGAAGAAGAGGAGGGTTTGGTGCAGAATGTGTCTAGATTTTATAAGAAGATTGTGAAGAGGAGAAAGATTGTTGATTTGTTTACGTTGTTATGGTTTTAGCGAAAGAGTTGAGGAACCAACCTTTTTTTAACTGTTCTTTTTTGGGGTTTCGATTGGATATGAGGCGATGACCGACTAATTTTTATAGATGGAAAAAAATAATTTTGGGCAATCACCCAGCTGGTTACATCGCATGGAACTGTATTTGTAACATTAACGGCTAACATTCAAATAACTGGCATCAAAATTAGGGTTGATTTACTTTTTTTTTTTAATGACATTTACATGTTTTATTTTTTAATTATTTTTTATTTTCCCCCAAAATTCAATAAATTAATTTAAAAAATCAGCTTTTTGTGGAAAAACTATCAACATTTGGATGTAACTAATATTGATAAGAAAATAATTGACGGGATGTTGCATAAAATTGTCAGGAAACGATTGTAGTTTTTATATTGAGGTAGATGTAAAATCAAAAGAAAACGGTTTAAAATAGAAACAAATACTAATTAAAATAAAGAATAACTGTCTAGAAAATACGCGTATGACATGAATCAACCCTATCATTAATATGTCTCTCTCTTTCTCTTTGAAAAATACTTAGATAGACTATTTTCAAGTAATTTAAATAAAATCTTATGTAATATTTTTTAAATTTATTTTATTTTTATAATAGAATATATATTTAATTTCTTATTTTTTATCTTTCTACTATTATTAATATCAAAATTAATTTATATTTAATACTATCTAAATGTCATGCTTTTATTAGACAAGTGATAAATGACATGATGCATTCGACCTACCTAATTTTTTTTTTAAAAAAAAGAGAAAAAATATGATTAAAAATGGATTGCTGATATTTACCATCAAAACTCATAAGAAAGGAAAAATTACCCATATACACTTGACTAGCAAATTTATTGCCCAAAAGTCCCTCCAATTTATACAAGCACAAGGTCAATATACTTAGGAGTTACATGATTAAATTACCCTTAACCAAATCTCTCCCCTTTGTCTCCTCTCGAGCTCCTATGTGATTTTTGGTTTGTTTTGGCCTGCAACTTTGTGATTCCAATAACAATGATGAGTGGTTGTGATTCTAATGAAAATGACGACAAAACAGAGTAAGGTGAGGTCTTGATTTTGAAAATAATCGAAGAAGGAGTGAAGAATGATGAGTAGTAAAAAAGGTTTGAACCTTAGGCCTTTTTATGCTCTTAAATCCACTGAGATTAATTTGTTCGATTTAGATTTGAATTTATTCCCCATGTTTATTGTTCTTTGTGTGGTTGTTCTTGCTTTATTTTTAATTTTTCCATTTAAATTTGACTTTGAATCTAGTCATGAAGATGAAGGACTTTTGCTAGGTTGTGCTGAAAGATTACTCTTGATGAAGGCACTAAGGTAAGGTAAATGATCGATTTTCTATTTAGTTGGTTCCAATAAAATTCTATCTTCTATATTTTTCTTTTTTTTTACCCTCATAGTTTGTGAATTGGCTCTTAAAATTCTTTTTGTATTGATTGACTGTTATTGATTTAGGTTTTTGTTGAGAAAATATAAATATGTTAAATATCTAATAGAGTCATCCCCTTATGTTCGTTTTTCTATATTTCACATGAATGGTTCAACACAGAGGAATGCTGGTATAGTACAATCTACAACTTCAACTACTAATACAATCTTTTGTGACAGGTGTGTGTTCTGTGCAGTAAGCTAAGAATGTAGTTATAATGGTCTGGGAACTTGAGAGTAGCACGCTTACTATGTTTAATGTTTTCGAGAACCCATAAGCATAGGTTTAAAAACTCCTGATGATTTAATTGTTATAAAGTATAAATTGAGAGTTGTAAGAGTTTGTAAGTTGATTGACTTGTTTGGGAGGCAAGACAAATGTCACAAGCCCAACTTTTTGTCCAATGAATTTGGTTCAAATGAACCTTTAACTTTCTTTCATTGATATACAAAACAACTTGAGTTTGTGAAAACTATAAGGTATTAAAAATAAATTTGAATAGTTCAAAGGAAAATGACTTAACCATTTATATGTTGTGAGAAAGCATGGCCATCTTACTAACAACCTACATGTTGACATGAAAAGAAAATTTTCTAAAAAATCCCTCACTATCAAATTAATTGCTCAAAGGTCCTTAGAATATAAGGTATAATTAATTCTATTGAGATTCTATATTATATCAAGTGATAAATAATAAATCTCTTTCCTTTGAAATTACCATTAGTTTTCACTATTGTTTTACAATGATTGTATTGGGTGATTCACATGAAATACTTATATTTTTTTTTTGAACATAAATCCTTATATTGTGGTGATGAGGTGTTTTTTCTTTCTCTTTTTCTTTTTTTCCCCAGCCTTGTCCTTTAGTTTCAGAGAATAATATAGATTTGGGTTTAAGATTTGTCATGCAGATTTTAATTTGGAAAGATTTTAAAATAAAATAAATTATTATTTCTCATAAAAAATATTGGGAAAATAACATTGAAGTCCCAAACTAACAAATTTATGACAGTCAGGTCCTTGATGATTTTTTTTTTCAAAAAACTAGTTATCAATATTGATTCAGATGATTATAAATATTGATTTAGATGATTATAAATTCTTGACTTCTAATCACAAAGAAGACATTTAAATTTTAAATATAACTTTTAATTGCAGTTGAGATTCCTGTTTGCTACTGTTTTAATAAATATTTATAATTTATTGTTTAGAAATTTTTGTCAGGATCTAATTGTCATAAATTCTAATTTTAGGAACTTTATTGTCTGTCGCCCAAAAATATTTCTATCTTTTCAAACTAATATCATGTGGGGGTTAAAAGTACAGTTATTCATGTTTCATTGTTTTGAATGTCATAATTATTTAGGATCAGGAAATAAAAATATATTTATTTATATTTTAATTGTTAAAATTATATATTTGTAATAATTTATATAACTTTATTTTTATACTAAATAAGGTTATTTGTTGAAAATTATGGAATCAATATTTACCCCATATTTAACTTAAATTAATTCTTATCCCTTTTTGGTGAGAAGGAAGGGAGAGTTTAATAAGTTTGATTTAGGAAAAAAAAAAAAATAGAGAAGTGGGACTGAAATTTTTTTAATAGAAATAAAACGAGAGGATTAATAAAAATTTTTTTGACCCCACTTACAATTTTTGTAAAATCAAATCCATTAAAATCTCTCATCTTCTTTGTTCTAATTCAATCTCCTCATGTATGATATGGATATAAAATTTAGTTTGACTTACAAATTGCATATTTTTTATTTGTAATTTTAAAGTTATAGTTTTAGATGAAGTTAAATTAATAGGAATAATATTACCTTTTGTATCTCGACATTTAATTATACTAAGATTTTAATAGATTTAGCCGTGTTTTCAATCTAAATTTATTTGTAAATAATTTTTTTCGTATAGGATCATTTTACAATTGTCTCTTATAAAAATGTAACCTATCTGCCTTATTATTTAAACTATAAGAAATGCCAAAAACAAAAAAGGCTACTAAATAATTGAATTTATTATTTTTTTTGCTAGACTTAAGAAAAAAAAATGCTTGAACAAACCATAGTAAAGATACAAAGTTAAATACACTAATAACTTTTCTATTATGACTTAATTTTTCATCTGTTTTAAAAATGCACAAAAAATTTTTGTAAAATTAAAATATATGTTATATAAAAATTTATTGTATATTTGAAATTTCATTTTCATTTATTAAACTGTGCTTGTCTTAAACATTATAATTTTTTAAAAATCTGTATTTGAAAAAAATATTTTTTATATAACTAAAAAATATAATGAATAAATATTTTATTTTGTCATAAAATTTATTAATTTTTACCACATTATAATATTTTATTATTTTAATTTTTATCAAATTTATTGAAACTTAATTATTTATATTTTTTAAAATTACTAAAACTATATTTTTATTCAACACAAAATATAAAATGATATAAGTTCGAGAGATTATATAAATAATTTAAATTTAAAATTTATAAACAGTTTTTTACAATGAAGTTATCTAACTATCAAAATAATATAATTTAAAATTTATTAAAATAAGGGATAAATTAATAAATAATGTTATTATAGTATAAATTTTAATTTAACAAGTTTTTAGAATTTTTTAATCATTTCTAACAAAGTTAATGAATTGGACTAAATTATATATTTTTAAAATAAATGAGTGATTTATATAATTAAGATAAAATAGAAAAATAGTCAAAGTATTTTACTGCTTTGCATTGGGGAAGAAATCCTATTATTCTGTGTTAATTATTAACAATTTGAATTTGATTTGGATGTATTTGCACATAAAGTTATGGTATTCTATTGCTTTGATCAATAAAATGGTTACATGCTTTTTATAACAGTCAATTGAAGAAATTATACGAAGCATAATATATTTTTAATTTATTCATAAATTTCGTTCAAGTCATATAAAATTAAAATGTTCATGATGAAATTGTAAAATAATGTAATCGAAGTAAATCTAAATCGCTGGCCAAAAGGCCAAAAAAGAAAAAAGAAAAAAGAAAAATCTAAGCTAGGATCTTTTACCGAAATGATGTGTGTGGAAACGGAAAGATGAAAAGCGAAAGGGTTGGAGAAGAGAGTGGAGTTCGCTGTTGTGACGGCTAGGGTTTCTTCGGGTGCACGGTCACGGAGGAAGCCACGTAGGCGAGAGGAGCTGACATCGCAGGAAGACACGTGGCAGAGGGAGAGAATGAAAGTGCCTAAATCCTTTTATTTTTCTCTTCATCACTGTTAAATAAAACTTTTCAACCATTCAATTTTAAAATTTATAAAATTATTATATAATAATTTTATATAAAAATATATAAATAAAATATTATAATTTTAAATGTTTAAGTCAAATCCTAATAATTAATATATATTTATATTTGTTATGCCAGAATTTCTCGTGAAAGCACCCCAAAACGACAAGGCAGGAAAAGAGCTCACAATGTGGGAAAAAGGATCCTTTGAGGTGGGCCTACCATTTCCACGGCGGGCCGACTCTGACGTGGCCCCGAAATATTCTATATTTTTTTAATTGGAGAGGTCGCTTCGGGAGCGAGACAAACGGCGGAGATGAGAACACGTAAACAATAAGGGAATCGTGACCGCCCACCAGGCTCGGGAGGTGGCTTTGGCGGAGAGAGAAGGAGAAGATGATGATGAGGCTGGAGCATAATCAAAAGAGAGGAAAGAGAAGGAGTGGCAAAAGGAAAGGGGAGAGAGCCGGCACTGGAGCAGCAACGACACACAACGCATTCGCTCAAGATAAGAAGAAGAAGAAGAAGAAGCGGCAACAGCTTACACAATTCACTTTCCAATTTGGTGGCCCTCATCCTTCTTAACCGCTGATTATTGTTCCTCATGAAAGATGAGGTGAGTCTTGTGGTCGTGGATGATTCGGTGGTGTCACAGACTCAAAGCGTTGAATGGACAGAAACAGAGAAGCTAGGAGAAACCCCATGGCTGCCAATGGTTTGTCCAGAAGGAGACACAGGACTCACACTTTCAGAGACTCGCCCGGTGATTCCATCAGATCTAAACTCTCTCAAATTTATATTCATCCTCTTAATTTAAAACGGAACCCCGTTTCTCGTTCCTTGATTTCTGACGGCTTCCCTTATTTTTTTTTTTTATTTTTGGACTTGCAGAGGAAGATGGACCGGTGGAGCTCCCGGAGACGACCAGGCTTAGAGATCGAGGGACTGGGAAGAAGGATCGAGATCGCGAGAGGGACAGAGATAGAGATAGAGAGCGCGAGAGGGATCGATTGAGTCGCACCAAGAGGAGGAGAGGGGATGGGTTGATGCACGGCAACAATAGAGAAGATGGTGGAGAAGATAGCTCGTATGAGAGTGTTAACGATGAAGAAGAAGACGAGGATGATGATGTTGGCGGTGGTTCAGTAAGAATGCTTCCGCTCAACCCATCATCGCTATCTTCATCCTCCTTATCGAACCATCGGAAGAGCTTTCCTCTGGCGAAGGATTTTAGAGCAGCGTCGACATGGAAGGCCGCCGATGAGATGATTGGGGTGTTGGTTCCTAGGAAGGCACGGTCAGGTAGAGTGCTTCGGATGAGGAGTAATCGAATAGACTGTATTGAAATTGATAATCAAAACTTGAGACTTTAACACGTTCCTTCTCGGTTTGTTTCTCTTCTCAGCGTCGACGAAGAGATTGCATGAATGTTGGGCTTCCAATGGGGGAATAGCAGGGGAGCAATTTCACAGGCAAGCGTCAACTTCTCCCGTGAGAACAAGCGCAACAGCAACGGGGATGGGACCTTCTCCATCTCCAGCGTCGCCGTCTTCGTCTAACGCTTCGGTTCGCAGGAGGATAGTGAGTTCTCGCTGTTCTTCGATTTCTCTCGCTGTCCTGCGATTTTCTGGTCCTGGGATTGCCATACTAACGAGTTCTTATTCTTCTGTAGAAGCCCAGTGGAACCAAGCCTCGTCCCCCAAAGTCTACATCCAAACCTTCTTCAGCTCAGGATGAGATCGAAATAGAGATCGCCGAAGTCTTGTACGGTATGATGAGACAGCCTCAAGGGATTCCCAAGCAAGAACCGTTGGCGAATGATTTATTGAAGTTCGATTCCAGGGACACTAGCAAATCTTCCGGTGATGGCAAGTCGAGGATATCTTCACCGATCTCGAACTCACAATCCGCACCGCCTCTGTCGTCGTCAGTTCCACCCCAAGGTTCCAGTACTTCCATAACTCCCTTATCTGCTGTTGGTGGGTTCTTCGAGCCTTCAAAGCTCAATTGGTTTCTGATATTTTCCTACATTTTTTGCTTTCATACGGTCGGCAAAAAATGGAGGGGAAGGAAGAACATCGTTGTCTATCTGTTTTTTGACGGAAGAAACTTACACGTGCTTTTCATCCTACTCTGAAGCAGCACCCAAGAGGAAAAGACCGCGTCCCGCGAAGGATGAGAGCGAAAATCCGACTAACATCGCCGTTCGGAATGGCCCCATTGCATCGACCTCGAAGGCTGAAAGCGATCAGGCTTCTAAAGTCGAAACTTGTGCGCCAAATTTCGATAAAACCGCCGGATCTGCATCCGAAAATGGCTGTTTGTCTAGCAGCTTACCCAGTTCCCAAGTCGTTCCTCCACCATTGAAGCCTCTGCCGGAGTCAATTAAATTGGAAAGCAACATGCTGTCGGATTCTAAGTCGGTAACGGAAGAATCAGTAAGGCCAGATGTGGGATTGAGCGAGGAGGAACCTGAGTCTCCGAAGAAGGAATCCATTGTGCCGAAATTAGATGATGACTCTGAGGATGTGAAAGCGTTAAAAGCGTGAGCATCATAAACTCGTCTTTCGCTCCTCTGCTGAGCTTCTGGTGGGTTTGCTCTGAAATGTGAAATTTTGTTTTTCTTTTTTTTGTTGGTTTTTCAGGAACCCAATCATTTCCGAGAATGTGAGCCAGGGGGAAGAGAAGATCCAGATAGACCTGATGGTGTGTTCTATTTTCCTCGCTGGAAGTTTCTAAATACCAACTTCCTACGTTTTCTATTATTTATTTATTTATTTATTTTTAACTTTCCTTTTCCCATGGGTTGTGCAGGCGCCACCTCCTCCATTGAGACCTTCTCCAGAAAGAGATGCGGAGGTTAATTTAGCGGCAGGGGATCCGCAGCCATTGGCGGCAGAATCTGAAATGGTAAGCGGGTCGAGCCGACAATGTTTTATTCTTACAGAGTCTAGTGTTGCCGAAGGTGGAATGAATTTATTAGCTGTTGGTGCAAGCAGGACGTGAAGCCAATGGTAAGGGAAGAGGAGAAATCACAGAAAATGAACAAGGATGAGGCGGTGGCTGTTGCAACTGATAAAAAGGGAGCAGCGGCGGACGATGCCAATGCACTAAAACCAGCTAATATTCAAAAGGAAAGGAGTAACGATCTACGAATTGATTTAGAGAAGACTGATAAAGATGGTGGCAGTGGCAATATGGTTGTGAAGAGGCATCAGCAGCGACCGAACTCAGAGCAAGCTGGTATGTCCAATTTGAATTTTTTCCCACTATGTCCCCACCTTCTGTATTTGCGCTGAACTGGGTCGTTCATGCGTGATTTTTCTTTCATTACAGTTCAATCCAACTCTATGCCTCTGCCAATCTCTGTTCCCAGCTGGTCGGGCGGGTTTCCTCCTATGGGGTACGGCCGGGTTAATGCTCATCTGTTTCTATTATCAGCGCTTGTTGGCGGTTTTAGTGTTCTGTTGCTTTCTTTCTTTTCTATTGGGGTATGACTATCTTCTCATTAGCAGATATATGACGCCTCTACAAGGAGTTGCATCCATGGATGGCACCGCCGTGTCTTCTCCAGCCATACCAGTATGTGCGCTTTCTTTTCAAATTCTTGACCGAATTTTCTTTCATATTTAGTGAACAGAGTTTTTTTTCTTTTTAAATTGTCAAAAACATGCTCACTGAAGTCTCTATATGTAATATTTTTGATATTCTCAGCCGCCCCATCTACTTTTCAATCAGCCTCGGCCCAAAAGATGTGCAACCCATTGCTACGTTGCTCGCACTATATGGTACCACCAACAGGTTGCAAAGATGAGTCCATTCTGGCCTGCGGCAGCAGGTTCTTCATCATTATACGGTGCCAAGGCCTGCAATCTCAGTATGGCACCTCCTACCGAATTGCAAGGTAATATTGTCAGCAGGACTGCAAGCTCTGCTCAAGACAAAGGGCACAGTCTTGCCATACTTCCAGGTCATCTTGGGAAGGAAAAAGGCTCTCACGCCGCCAACATTGAGAATTCACAGAGAAAGCAAATAGTGCTTCAGCAAGCTCTGCCCCCAGGGGCACCTAGTAATATATTGGTACGATTTGTTTGCTTTTACGGTGGTAGTTGCCCAAGTTATTTCTAATTTTAATTGATCATTTGCTACTATTTCTCTCCCTGCTCATTTTTTGGTAATGAATTATAATTGGGCCAATTATTGCTTTTTTGTATTTCCAGCAGGGCGCTTTCATCTTCCCGCTGCCCCAGCAGCAGGCAGCGGCTGTTGCATCTGTTAGACCTGGATCTGTGAGGTCTCTGCCTTCTACTGGCACTGGGGTATCATCATCAGGTACATCTAGTGCAGTCTCGGCAAGTGCTTCTGCTACGGGGACTGCTGCTGCACCAACAATGAGCTTCAGCTACCCTAATATGGCTGGCAATGAAACTCAGTACTTGGCAATTTTGCAGAATAATGCATACCCATTTCCAGTACCAGCACATGTTGGTGGTCCACCTGCTTACCGAGGAACCCATGCCCAAGCTCTGCCATTCTTCAATGGTTCTTTCTATTCTTCTCAAATGCTCCACCCTTCACAGCTTCAGCAGCAGCAACTTCCAGCTCAATCTCTGCAAAATCAACAGAGTCTTCAAAACACAAATATGTCTAGTGGATCATCATCTTCCCAAAAGCATTTGCAGAGCCAGCAGCAAAAGCCTAATGCTAGTGGCACTGGTGGTGGTGGAAGCTTGCAAGGTTTTCATGCCTCATCCAAAACCCAGCCATCACGGTCACTGCAGCAGCAGCAGAGGCAGCATCTGCCCAACCATCATGCTTCTCATCCTTCATGCCACATTGAGTCTGAGATGGGTGGTGAAGATAGCCCATCTACTGCAGATAGCAGGTTCTCTCGTGCTCCTATGAATGTATATGGCCACAACTTTGCAATGCCAATGCAGCCACCGAATTTTGCTGTGATGACACCTGCATCGATTGGGGGTGCAGGTGCTGCGACCAGTGCTAATGGCAGTCACAGTGAAAAGAAGCAACAGCAGCATAATAGCACAAAGGCTGGAGTGGAAGCTTCTCAGGCATTTGCCATATCATTTGCGTCCATTAATGGTGCTACTACTGCCACGGGCCTTGACCTCTCATCTATTGCCCAGAACCATCCAAATATGCAAAGTCCAAACTTTCAAATGATGGCAGCTCAAGCTGCTCAGCAGAAGAAAAATTATCGTGTCTCTGAAGAGGGGAAAACTGGAGGTGATTCTTGTAATCCGGATGAAAATAGGAAAGCCATGTCCAGAAAAGCTACTGCAACCGTGGGACAGTCCATTGTTTTCTCTAGATCGGAGGTGTCAGATCCCTCAATATCTGCAATTACAGGTAACACTGTCATTGATAGCTCGGCCCGAACTCTCAACCTTAGTTCTGCTACATCCCGTACTTTGGCTTCTGGCATGCCTGCTACTTTCAACAGCAGTACTGTCAGTTCTCAGCAACAGATGCAGCGAAACCAGCATCAGCAGCAAACAATTCAGATTCAAAGGCAACAATTAACGACAACTGCTCCACGCAACAAGACACCATCTACAAGTAACGGAAATGTCTACTCTGATCACCTGCCTGCTGCCTCTTCAGTGGCCACCAAGTTTACCACTGGATATCCTCAAAACCTTGCACAAAGCAGCAGCACTGCTGCTCAGTCACCTCAGTGGAAGAATTCTATGAGGCCAATTACTTCTCAGTCTCCTCCATCTATGTCACCCACACCTTTGACAGCTAAAACTGTTACTCAGCAGCAGGCTCGTTCTCAGCAGGCTCACACGCAAATTTCTTTTGCAACAAATCTAAAATCCTCGGCAACCCAAGGGCAACCTTCAGGCTCTACACATTCTCCTTCTCCAACTGTGGCTGGCTCACCAACGGCTTCCTCAATTTCCAAAAATGGGGGTAGCCCTCGGACAGCATCAACATCAACTGGAAATAAGGTTAGCCAGGCTTCTTTATCGACTCAGCAACCTAGAAGTTCACAAGCAGTGCCAAGTCAGAAGTCCTCACCTGTTGGTGGGAGGAATGTTCCATCAATCCTTAGTGGCTCTCAGCTGATCCCATCTTCTGGCACTGGGGCGAAACCCCAATTGCTACAGCAGCAGCAGCATCAACTATCTAAGCAAACATTACAGCAGGCACAGCTATTCTTCTCAAATGCTTATATGAATCCCCAAGCTTCACAATCAAGTAGTTCCACCTCTACAACTTCAGCTGCAAGCGGGCAATACCTTCAAAGGCGTGGCCACGATTCTCATATGCAGCGACAAAGCTCATCCGGCACTTCCTCCAATGGCATGCTGTCCTGTCCTGCAGTTACAATCGTTAACAGCAGCTATACTGATTCTTCTAAGGTCGCTGCAGCTGCGGCAAGCAATTTGAAAGGTGGCAGTTTATCAACCCAAGGTTTCATGCATCCTGCACACTTCACCGCAGCACAACAATCTGGAAACCCCCACCAGTATGTTGGGGGCTTCCCTTATGCTGTACCTGCCGCAGTTCAAGTGAAGCCAGCAGAGCAGAAAGAACCTGCGGGTGAGTAAAATGATGTCGCTGGTTGTTTGCTCCACTACTGTGCATGTGGGAAACGAAGCGTGAAAGCAATCTGAGGAGTGGAAGACGATGTCTTTCTTGTGTTTATGCCCTTTTGCAACATGCACGCAGACGAAAGAGATGGAAGGTGCAAATATGAGCAAACCACAGCCTCGTGATATGAATTGAATCAGCGGAGACTTTTCACAATTTTGGACGGAAAGTCTGACGAATTATATATGGAATATGCCTGAAGTGAAGTGTGTAGTGATCTCTGTACACTTGTGTTTATATTCTGACAAGGGTGATCTTGAAGTCTAATCAAAATTCTTTTTGTTCTTTGGAGAGGTAGTTGATGTTTTTTTCCCCCGGGGGGGGGGTGTTGCTTATGAACACGTACTAGTTGGCAGGATAGTATGAAAGAACGAAACAAAGTTTGGAGGAAAGGAAGGAAAGAACCACCTTTCCTTTGGGTTCGTAATGGAAGTCTTCCTGGGATTTTCTTTCTCCTCTTAATTGTTCTTCTTTCATTCTATTATTATTTTTGTTGCTTTCTAGACTAGAAAGAGGAGCAGGAAGCATCTTTTGACATATCTACATGGAAGAGCATGAAATATGTATCATTGTAGCAGAATATCATAGTTAGCCACAAAATTTGCTAGTCCCTCTTATGTGCTGCTGTGATTCCTCTGCATTACAATTTCTGTTCACCTGGACTTCAGAAATAGCAGATCGTATGCTAATTTTCCCCCATCCGCTTTAAGAGGTCGTAAGTTGTAGTTAATGTTAAAGATAGTGTACAAGATCGAGTAATACTAATCCGGACAGTTTTACATCATTCTAAGAAGCCTGTTTAATGTTTGGATATTGTCATATTGATGAGTGTTCCGTGAGAATTGATAAGCACGATGACAACAAAAGTGAGTTGCAATAACCTTCGAAGTTTCTTACAACACAGAAATTTAGGTTGTAGTTAATCAAGATTGAGTATTCCGTGAGAGTTAAGAACAAGTGGTAGTAATTTTAGACCCAGTAATAATTTCATTTTATGAATCTCCCTAGAATTTCAGGGAGTATGGGACTTTGGGTTGTAATAAAATGAATCAACTCGTTGAGAAATTTTGACCAAAATTCAATGAAATACTGATTGCAATCCATGTTACGTTAATTCCAAGTGTAATGATGATAGAATTTGGATGGTCGGATAAAATAAAAAATCTCCTTATTTTGGTTTAGGCCATCTCGATGACAATGAGTGAAGAATAATGAAAAAAGAAGTGCGGTTAAACATTTATTCTATTCAGCAGATGATGGCTGCATAAACAGCAGTTTCATGGTGACAATTGTGGAATATGTTTGAGTAGATTCCTATCTTCCATTACTTTCTCACTTCTGTCACCTGAATATATGACTTTCTCAGCAACTAATTTTTGTGATGTAATTTTTTACATATGTACAGTGACTCAGTTCTGGATCTTCTACCTTTGCAGAGTTTGTTACTATCATATGTTCTATAAAGTGCTTGAGTGATAGTATGTATAGAGTCAAACAAAAACCATTGTAGAACTTACGTGAAGAGTGACTTGGTGATATGAAATTAAAAGACCGGTAGCATTTGAACAGTGTGTGTAAACCTCATCTACATATCTCCCAAGATTAATTTATATATTTGAAAGCTTTGTGATTTTAGGTAAGGTTAATGTGTTCTAGTTTATTTTAGAACTGCATATATAGTTACAGATTCATATCTATAGTTTGATGAAGTTCTTTTTATTTTTATTTTTTTTAAATATCCCCGCTGATGCGATAATACTCACTCGTAGTTTAACATGTATTGTCAAATCCGAATCCTGAATCTGATGCACAAGATCAAATATATTTCCAAATCTAAAAACAAATTTAGTACGTGGCATTTTATAATTCGCGAGAAAGTTTGAAGCGACTATAATATCTCCCTGATTTGCTTCCTTTCATGTTATCTCAGATTGAAGCAACTCTCATGCCTCAAGATTATCGACACAGGAAGGTAACCTCAGTTCATTCAATTTTTTTTTTACTTTCTTTGGACCATACATGTCAAACATCCCTGGTCCATTTTTCTTCCTCTCACTACATTCATTTGTCATTCGAATGATGTTCTTGAGATGTTTGCTATCAAGTTTTCGAATTACGAACCGAGGAAGATAATCTTTTGAAAGATCCCAGTGGGTGGTGCTGAACTACAAATAAATAAAAAGAGTCCATTTCTTTTATGTTTGAATAAGAACACCATGCTGTGAAGTCAGTACGGAAGACACAATATGAATAAAGAGCAATCTTAGGATCCCATTGTTAAATATACCAAATTAAGATTATTTTGAGGTCACATAGAACCCTGTTGCATATATTCATTCCACTTGTAAATTTTGAACTTAGATTACATTTTTGCTGTTTCTTCCATTTCCTAAAAGATTGTGATTGATGCTTCATTTGGGAACAGTGTGAAAATAATCCCAATATGCCTTTTCTAGATGTCTACAAGAGAGAGGGAGGAGGGAAGAGAAAGGCTTGGCCTTTAAATATTTTGAAGTCACATCAAACGGGGAAGGTAATGTGAAAGAAGTGTTGTTTCTAGTATGCAGTATGTCACGCTTTGTGGTATTTGAATTGGCATTCCATTTACTCTCTCTCACGCACTCATGACCTTGATAGTTGTGATTAATGGTTCCACTTGAAAAATGCAGATTCAAGGATTAGTTTATTTCATGGTACAAGTTCTATAAATGGTTGATTTTGTGTTTGTTTTGGCAACGCATTGAGCTTGTCCGTTGCTATGATTTGGTAATTCCCTGTAGTAATGCATTTAGGAAGAATAATAGTTAAATTTCAAAAGAGAAAAATTAATGACGGTTAAGTTATTAATAATTAAAAAAACAGTTGTAAATATCCATTAGAAATTACAAATTTAAAATTTTTAATTATAAATACGATATTTAAATTTTAAATATAATAATTAGTTTTCAATTTGAATTTCTGTTTATAATTTTTTTTAAATTGATAATTACAATTTATCTTATAAAAAAATTTGTAAAAAACTTAACTGCTATTAATTCCTTTTTATACTTGCTTTTATTACATGTTTGTTGGATGAATTGATATCAATCAAACTTACAAATCTAACTATTCAAATCTTTACTGTGATTTGATCAAACAATTAATTTTTTTAATATGAAAGAGTGTGCTCAAATCAATAATAAGAAATATAAATAATTGAAGAGTTAACGAAACTCTAAAGGGTGTACATTTTGAGTTCTTGAAGTTACTAATACTTATTTTTTCTGTAATCTTGATATTGAGTTAGATTTTTTCAATCTTTTCAAGAATAGTATATTATGTGTTGATGGATGGGGTTTTATGTTGTCATTTAGAGATGAATTAATGTTGCAAAGGACTATAGGATCAATTCTATGCACTATTTAGATGTCAATAAAATATGCTTTCAATTCTTTGACATTAAGTTGTGTGAATAAATGTGAGGCAAAATAGATTTGCATCTTACTATTTTTTTTTTAGTGATCATATTAAATTTCTCCTTGAAAATAAGTGTTGAATCTATTAATCTTGATATGAAGTCTTGTTTTCATACTTTGTAATCTTGACTAGTTTTATTTTATTTTATAATCCAAGATATTATGATATCAGCTTGCAAATTTCTCCTTTGGAAAGGTCATTTCAATATTGTGCGCGCACACGTGTATGTTTATGTGATGATCCCAAAAGAAAAATGTGACGTGTCATACAATTATTCAGAAAGGTATGCATACTATCTTTTGTGCTTTAATTAAAATTGTATATATTTTTTTATTAACTAAATAATTTGTAATTGTATCAGGCAAGAGAAGAATCAGATATGATTGCTAGAAAGTTGGAAAAGGACATGACACTTGACATTGTTAATTTTGGCGAGAAATAAGGGGAAGAAAGATAAGCTATAAATACTTTCCACCAGTGTGAACAGGCCTTCGCATTCGGTGCACTGATTGCTTGTTAGGCCGGGGACGACCCTGATTTTCCGTTTTAATTTAAAATAATATCTACTGTTCATTTAAATTAATTTTTAAATACTTTTAATATTGTATTTGTTAATATAAAAATATAAAAAAGTTTAATATTAAAACTAGGTTGTTTTTGGTGTTCGTCAGTGATACTTATTCCTTCTGAGGAGATACAAACCATTCAAAATTTAAAATTTTTATTTTATTTTATATTTATTAAATTAATTTTTAAATACTTTTAATATTATATTTATTAATATGAAAATATAAAAAATTTAATATTAAATTTAGGTTGTCTTTACTGTTCATTAGGGAATAAGTATCATGATATTTATTACATCTCACGATTTGGATCATTTAAATTTTAAAATTTTTATTTTATTTTATATTTATTAAAAGAAAATTTATAAAAATATAAAAAATTTTAATAAATTTGTTCATTACCAATTTACTTAGTACACATTTAATCTAAATAATTCAATTTAATATTAAATTTTTTTATAATTTTATAATTTAACTATCTAAATAAACTCTGAACAATTTAAATATTATTTGAATAATTTAATTTATTATTAAAAAATTTATAAAGTTTACAATTTAATCATTTAAGTATGCTCTAAATGATTTACATTTAATATTAATTTTTTTATATATTTTTGTTAATAAATATAATATTAAAAACATTTAAAAATTAATTTAAACGACAAATAGAGATTTAAAAAAAAATGAAGGACATGATTGCTATTGGTCTGACTGCCCGTCATAATGCGGACGCATGTAAACAATGATGATTCGAGTTCTGCGTACATATGCGTTGATTTTATGTAATTCTATAGAGTTTCATAGAGTAGTATATAAAATATTGCTTTATTATTGAATTTCATTAATTGATGGAATTTCTAGAAATTATTAATAATCCTATGTGCTCTTTTTAATTGCCATGATTTTGTTATTTTATTTTTTTTTTCGTTTTTAATAGTTCGCCCATGATCAATATAATAAATCCCTCTTTTTTGGGGGATGGAGGTCTGGGCGTGAGGAAGAGGAAGAATAAACTTGATTTTAAAATTTACTTTTATATAAAGTTATGAGAAAGGATTAATTTGATTAGATTTTTAAATGAGAAAAAAACATTGTTAATTATTTTTACTTTTACATCATTATAATAAATAGGTAAAAAATGATAGAAAAATAACTTCAAAATACTTAAATAATAATTAAATACTGCCAAATGTGATAATTATTTTTTAAGTTTTAAAGAGTTGTTTATAGATTATTTTTAATATAAAAAGACTATTTTATCTCTAAAAAAATAAAAAATCACCAAACTCGTCTTTTCCCTGTCGCTTTGTCTGGATCCTTACTTTGTCTTCTCCGTGCTCCAAATTAAATAATGACTCTTACTTTTGTTGTTTTTTTTTTTTTAGAGCATTTCGCATCCTAAGGCAAATCATCTTTTAGATATATCAACGGCTCCAGACTAATCTGAAAGCCACCGAGTCCTCCAATTTAAGGGTAAAGTGGCTAGCCACAGATTTTTTCCATGTCAAAGGGAGGAATCAAAGCCCTCCAACTTGGTTAAGGGATCAGGTGAGGAATCATTTAGGCCACATCGTCATGGTTCCTACTTCTGTGTTCCTAATTGTCGATCTTTGTGATGCTTCTTTGGATTTGGCCATCGGTTCTTTTATGAAGGCATAACCAGAATTTTTTGTGATAGGATTTTACATGTTCACTACATTTAAGTTGATGCCATAAATACTTACCCATGCGGCATGATTTCTTGCTATAAAATGGAGGTTTGAAATCTATTTATACACAATTTTTGTTGAATGTTGGCACTGTGAATGAGTTTTATTCATAATTATCCTTTGTTCGGATTCCGACCACCTCAAGTCAATTTACTAGCTTGAGCCAAATCTTGGTACAAAGTCCCAACTATCACGAGTGCCCGAGCGGATAGGTTCTTGCATTGCCCGTGAGAGATGAAGCGTGAGAATAAGAGCATTCTGCTTGTATATGTCTCAATCATATTGAGACTAGTCTCATTCTAGCCTAAAAATAATCGAGACAAGACGGGATACAAGATTATCACGAGGACGTCTCGTCCCATCCCAAATATATTTTATTTTAAAAATATATATTAAATATATTAATTATATTAATATAATTTATACTTATATTAATTATATCAATTATAATTTCAATACGTGCACTTCTTATTTAAAATTAAAGTTTTTTATATTGATAATTTTAATGATATAAAATAAGTAAAGTGATATCTTTCTTTATAATATATTAATTATATTAAGATAATTTATTCTTACATATATCTATTTAATAACTTTTATTTATATCATATTTCTTATTTTATTTTTAGAAGAGTAATTAGTTTAGCACATCTCAACTAAATTAGAAGAATAATGATTTGATGTTGTACTTGACTGGCTTGTTGTTGCTGCTCTTATAGCTTATAGATCACTTGTAATTGTTATTATGATATGTAGTTGTAATTAATGTAATTCAATAATTAACTTTAAATTTGTGTGATTTATGTACTTGTATTGTTTTAATTTTAAACTTAATAAATTATATGATTTAAAATTTTAATAAATGTTATTATTTAAATCTTTTTTCAATGTTGTTCAATTTATCAGGACTGGAGTGAGCGAATAAGCTCTAGCTAAAGAGGCAAATGCTGTTGATGAAGATCTTGCTGAAGAAGTCAGCGTTAGGGATAGCGAGGAAGTAGATCTAATTGGAAAGAGGGAGAACATCCTGGGGCTAGTGGTTTTGTTGGGATAAGTATCGCCCTTGAACAGACTCTTCTTCTTTATCACAGGGAGAATCAATCCTAGAGGGAAGATCTCTCTTTTATAAAAAGTAAGGAAGTACATTTTGTGCCCAACAGCAAAGTCCTCTTCTGTTGAAAGTGAAGATGTGGACATCTCGATCCTATTCTGATTTTTAACAGGACAGGATGACTTTCGTAATGGTACGAGACACGAAATAAAAATTTAATATTGATCATTTTTTTTAGGACATGACACAAAATAAAAGTATCCTGATCTTATTTTATCCGGTGAACATCCTTACGTGAGGATATAGGGAGTTTTTTTTTTTTTTGTTGGAAGGGGGGGAGGGGGTGAGTTTCAAAGGGATTGAGTATGGAGGACTTGCAATGCTGAGCTTGCCAAGAAAAAAATGTTGAATTGGAAAATAATCATTCTCATTTAATTATTTTAGTAGTTATGCCATTTCTCTTTTTTCAAAAGAGGTCATGAGTTTAAATTTAAGGCTGACAAGATTACATGCGAAGGTAATTACATGAGTCTCCATTTCATTCCTCATAAATATAGGTTAGGTTAGAGGTAAGAAAAAAAAACTAAAAAATGATTATTAGATTTCATAGTACCTATTTACCATTTATATATCTAATTTATAATTATTTTTGTACATTTTAAATGCTCATCTAATTTATCTCAATAGTATTATTTTTTGATATCATTTATGTCAAATACAAAAGCAAATACTGAGGAGTGTTTAATGGCTAAGAAACTTTAATCAGCCGATCTTGAAATATTGAATTTGAATCCCGCATAGTATCCCAAGGTTTCTCAAATGTTGGAATAAAAAAAAAAATACAAAAGCAAATCATTCAATAATATAAAATCTTAATTTGTCGAAATAATTTGTTTTGAAAATATCGCTTCACTTCGTGGTTATAATAATGTTGTTGTTAATCATTCATGTAATTATTATTCATTTTGATGTAATTGTACAATACAAATTCTTGCTATAAAATTCCACTGCAGGTGTTGCTGGTTCACTCAAAAATTGTCAATTTCTCTATCATCTTCATGATTCATCCCACTGTGAAAATAGTAGAACTGAGAACTCCTACAGTTATGGATTCACGCATACGCAAGGGTTGGTTGGAGCTTCGGTATTATGATTCTGCATTGCAGCTGCTTGGTAAAATGCCCGTAACGATTTTCCCTCCTCTGAAATCCCATTGGCTGATCGTTCGGCGACATCACCACCCCTTATTTCCCTCCAAGTGGGTTTATTAAAATACTCATTCACAATCGATTCGCTCAAATTTTTATTGCATTCATTGAATCATTGAGTCCTTTGGATTAAAATATTGGGATAAAACTAAAGAGCAGTGGATACTTCTTTGAGCATAACAACCACTGAGGATCCAGGCAAAGCCATAGCAGAGAGCTCTGTACCCCGTCCTCTCTTTCAAAACCCATGGAAGGCTATGACAATGAACGTCTTGGTTTTGGGAAGATGGGATACGGGTACTTCTTTTTCTTCTTCTTCCATGCTTTGGCTTTTATTTTTACTGAATTAATCGCATAACGATTGCTTTGCTATTATTGAATATTACTCGCTTCCTCCCCCCCCCTTGGAGGGTTCAATACAGGAGAAGATGCAAGATTCGGGCTCCCTGCTGCAACGAACTGTACTCCTGCCGTCATTGTCATAACGAGGCTACGGTATTCCCTCGGTTTTACTTACTTACAGCTCCAAATATATGCGTTTGTGCCTTGAACTGATGGGGTTTGAGTTATTTTCCTTATATATTTTATCAGAGCATGTTGAGGAGCCCCTTTGATAGGCACGAAATAGTTCGTCAAGATGTGAAACAAGTAGGCTAGCCCCTGATTTTATTTTACCATGTCGGTTTTTCCAATTGATATGAATAAGATATGTCAGGTAGATGATAAGTAGACTTATGCTGTCTGCACCTGTTGTTGCCATTTCAGGTTGTTTGTTCAGTTTGTGATACAGAGCAGCCAGTATGTTTTTCTTTAAAAAAAAAAATTTCTTAAATCTTCGATGCTTCTTTATGTTCAGGTTTAGTAGTTCTGCTTTTGGCTTATCTCTTTCTGTGTGTCTTTTCAAGGTTGCTCAAGTTTGCACGAACTGTGGCGTCAAAATGGGAGAATATTTCTGCAACACATGCAAATTCTTTGATGCTGATGTAATCCGTCCTTGAACTTCGATTCTTGAACACCATAGATATGCTTTTTGTTTATACATGTTCTTATTTCTTAGAGATGAACTAGGCTGAGAGTCGACAATGATACCTAAACCTGGATTGTACACTGTTAATCTTAACTTCTTCACACTGATGCTGATGCATGCAGACGGAGAAACTGTAGTTTCATTGTGACGATTGTGGAATCTGCAGGTGTCTACTTTGCTATGTTTGAGTTAGATTTCTATCTGCCATTACTTTCTCACTTATGTCACCTGAATATATGACTTTCTCTGCAACTAATTTATGATGTAATCTATGAAATTGGAAACAGAATTGGTGGTCGTGATAATTTTTTCCACTGCAATAGGTGCGGTATGCATCCATCGCCATACTTCCATTTGTGACTTGCAGTTTCTTTTGCATAAGTACTATTTGTTTGCGGCTAGGCTAATTTGCAAGTTTTTAAACTACATACGTGCTAAGACTCAGTTCTGTATCTTTTACTTTTGCAGAGTTTGGTACTATCATATCTTATATAAAGTGCTTGAGTGATGGTACGTAATAGAATCGAATGAAAACCAATATAGAACTTACGTGAAGAGAGATTTGGTGATCTGAAATTAAAAGACTGGTAGCATTTGAGTAGTGTGTGTAAACCTTGTCTTATCATTCTTTGTCTTCCTCACCCACATATCTCGCAAGATTAATTCATGTATTTGAAAGCTCTGTGATTTTAAGTCAGGTTAATGTGTTCTAGTTTATTTTAGAACTACATATATAGTTACAGATTCATATCTCTTTCTGCTAAAGTTCTTTTTATTATTATTTTTTAATAATCCTACTGATGCGATAATACTCAGCTTGTGGTTTGCTATGTATTAGCAACTCGCAATTTTTACGAATCCATTCTGTGAGGCCAAATCTAGAAGTGATTATGGATCCCTTGGAAAGCAAAAGCCTGAATTCTGACTCTGACGCGCAAGATCAAATATATTGCCAAATCTAAATACAAATTTAGTATGTGGTATTTTGTAATTCGCAAGAAAGTTTGCTTGTTTGTGCTACAAACTTAAATTTCCTTATCTTTTTGATAAATCACTTGTTTCTTCTGCTAGCTTAATGGTTTAGAAGCCTACAGATACAACAATCTGTGATAAAAAATGAATAATTCACTGGCTAGGATATCTGTAGTGAAAAACATTTTCTGACTGTAGGGTCTTGCTATTCACTTGGTCTACTTGATAATCATATATGTGTGGAGGACTCCATGAGGCATCACTGTCCCATATGTTATGAGGTTGGTGCTTTATCACTTCTTTTTCTTGAACACTACGTTTGTTTTTGGTGATAAACTATTTGGGGGAGCATGTTTTTCCACAATCACATGATATATTGATTGGACTTCATTGTGCAGTACCTTTTTGATTCAGTGAAGGACACTGGCGTTGTGAAATGTGGTCACACAATGCACTGTGAATGTTTCAAAGAGATGATAAAACGTGAAAAGTGAGTAATCTGAAATTTATCTTCCATTTTTCCCGTTTCCTTTGTATTCAGACTCAAATTCTTTAATCCCAGACATGACTTCGACATTTCTAAGTCGAAATCTCACTGGTTATTTCCAATTTACTATGATGACCCAGGTATTGCTGCCCCATATGCTCCAAGTCAGCGATTGACATGTCCATGATCTGGAAGATGATTGATGAAGAGGTAGCTCATTAGATTAAAAGATCATAGATGCTTAGACTTGACTTGCAGGTTTTTGTATGTAGCACACGGTGATTTGGTCTAGAATCAAGAATAGTACTCACACAAAAACTATAATATCTCCCTGATTTGCGTACTTCCATGTTATGTCAGATTGAAGAAACTCCCATGCCTGAAGGTTATCGACACAGGAAGGTAAACTCAGTTCTTTCAAACACATGTCAGTTTATTTTTCATTTATTTGATGTTTGTCCAGTAATGCTTTTAAAGGGTGGCACTAAATGATGTTCTTGAGATGTTTGCTGTCAAGTTTTTCAATGAGAACTTGACTATGAACTGTGAAAAATAATCTTTTGAAAGATCCCAATATGTGGTGCTGTACAAGTCCATTTCTTTTACATTTGAATAAGAATGCAGTTTTTTGGGTCTCTGACATGGACAAGCAAAGGACACGCCAGGGTGTGAAGTCAGTATGGAAGAAAGAATATGAATAAAGAGCAATCTTAGCATCTCATTGTTGAATATGCCATATTAAGATTATTTGAGATCACAGAGAACCCTGTTGCATGTATTCATTCCACTTGTAAATATCTATCATTATTTTTTTTCAGAAATTTCCCTGTTGATAATTCTTGATTCCATCACAGGTCTGGATACTGTGTAATGACTGTAATGATACAACCGAAGTGAACTTCCACATAGTTGGGCAAAAATGTGGGCACTGCAGCTCATACAATACTCGTGAAATTGCTCCAACTGTTCTTCCTCAATGATCACAGTGTTATGCTTCCAGAAGGCATATATTGGCACGCAAGAAATTAAAGTTAGCCCCTGTTGTAGATTTTTCTTATCGAACAAATACAACAGCAACATTCATAGTTTTGTTTTGTTCTCCAGAAACTCTTACTCAGGTTAATTATTCACCCCCAAACGTAACTCTTGTGTTATTCTTCCTCCATGGAATGGAGTGATTGAGTCACTTGGTTTATAAAAATCTTCGTATTGTATGTAAGACGGAACACTGTTTCCCAAGTCTGAGCCTGCAGCGAGTAATTGTATCTCTTAATGATGAGATGGTGGGTTGATTTGTAATTCTCATTAAATTCAATTAGCGTTCTATCACATAGATTGTACTCTCCACACACACACACACACACACACACACACACACACACACACATATCACACACACATATGAATTAGCGTTCTATCACATAGATTGTACTCCACACACACACACACACACACACACACACACACACACATGTATGTATAGATATATATAAGTTATTTTTAACTACGAAGGTCGTTAAATTATTAATGTTGTCCCACAATAAAAAACTCTCAATTTATTATTATTGAGTGCATCTTCTTTTAAAATATTTTTTTTCTTATAAGTAACCTTTTATTTTATTCATTAAATATTGCAAAATCATAAAATTGGGAAGAAAGTAGACTTATCACCATCCCTTTAATAGGCTTCACCTTTTGTTGGCCAAAAAAAAATAGGCTTCACTTTTTAGAGGCCTATCACGTAAGCTTCTCATTGATTTAAAAAACCTAATATGTGAATTCATTGCGATCAAATCTAAACTATTTAAATTCAGTTTGACTGGTCCAAATTTAAAATTATTTTAGATTCTGCGTTATCTGTTAAAATAAAATATTATTAAAAATATAAAATTGGAAAACAATTTCTAATTTCCATGAACACTGGACAGAAGCAGATTTTTTTTTTGTTAGAAATTGATAAAGGCTGATTGATGGCCATTTTCAGTTTACATGATATATATTTAACTCGCTTGATAAAAAATTGATAAGCTTAATAAATTTATATCTAGTTTAAATTTATAAATTAGTTAACACGATTTTATAAATAATTAACATAATTTTGCAAGTTAAAAATATAAAAATATTAAATTTAAGGAGTCAATTTAAAAGTTTAACAGTCATGATCCTGAATCTAAAAATAAAATAAAATCTGAATATTTATATAAAATTTAATTTTTTAAAAAAGTATTTTTCTGATTTTATTACTTTCAAAAAAATATAAAATCTTATTTTTCTTTTTTAAAAAGATAAATTTCATGGAAATTTTGCTGATATCAATTTTAGGGAATTTAATCTTTCTTTTTTTAAAAAAAAAAAATGTAAACCGCATGAAGGGATGGGCGAATGGATGAGAAGTACAATGAAAAGAAACACGGTAAGAAGAAACTGTCTCCTTTCTTGTTTGTCGTTTGTGCAGTTTCTTCCGTGCGGAGAAAATATTATATTTATTGCTTTGATTGAGTACAAGGGCGTTTTCTTAAAAAAAATTACATAATATCCCACATAAAAAGGTTAATTATTATAAAATTCGTTAACAACTGACATATGAAGTGATTCATAATAAATGCATTATAAATCACCTTATGCCAGTTATTAACAGATCTTACAGTAATTAATTTTTTTGTGTTTTATATTATAAATTATCTTATGCCAATTGTTAATAAATCTCGTAATAATTAATTTTTTTGTGTGAAACTTCAACATAATTCTTCCATTTTCTTATGTACTTATCCACCTCTTCCAGAATATTCTTTGAGAATTCTCCTTTTAAAAAAAATACTTAGATAAATCAGATGCACCACATAATTTATAATCTGTCCAATTAAAATATTTTAAATAATCTAAATAAATCTTGTGTGACATTTTTTAATTGGTTTTATTTTTATAACAAAATACATATTTAATTTCTTACCTTTTCTCTCTCTTCTATCATTAATATCAAAATTAATTTATATTTAATATCATCTAAATGTCATGTTTTTATTAAACAAATTACAAATGACGTAATACACTTAGTCTACCTAAGTATTTCTTCTCCTTTCATTCAATATTATAGAATATTTTTTCAAAACATCATATTAAAAAATATAAAATCTTTTAAATCTTTTAAAATGTAATTAATAACTTTTTTTAAAAAAAAATGGTCTGATTAGAAGATATAATTAATAATTTTTTAATTAAAATATTATATTAAATAAAGATAAATATAAAAATATATAATTTTAAATGTGATTAACGAACTTATTAAAAATATGAATTAGCTAAAAGTCAGTTATGAAAACAACAAAAAACAAGGTTGGACCAAGTTGGATATGAAATTGATGAGGGGCCGTTGATGCTCATTACTGAGAACAACAAATAACGAAGGTAGTCATTATTTCAATCAATTCAGAACATTTTCTTTTCGTTGGTTTTGATTTATTTCCAATTCCAATGAGTTGTGGAAGAATAAGGTCATGTTTGGTACATTAAAATTGGGTCTAAGAGAAATGAAATTAGAATTGGAATCATGCTTTCAATTGTTTGGTATACATGAATACAATTCCTTATGGATTTCAATTCTACCAAAATACCTAGAATTCAATTCCATCTCCATCATGATAGAATTGCCACAATTTTATGAAATTGTCATAAGTGCCCCACATACACACTCCATCATAATGGCTAAGTTTTTTATTTTTTTTAAGGGCATTTTGGTCTTTATCTATTTTAAATACATATATTTATTAATATTATATTCAGATTCCATCTTCATACCAAACACACTTTTAAAATTCAATTCTATTCCGATTTCGATTCCAATTTCAATTCCAATTCTAATTTCAATTCTATTAAAAACTCTTCCACCATATCAAACGAGGCTTAAAAAATGACAACTTAGCTGCCAATTGCCAGCATCTTGAGCCGTGGAATGGTCCCAACCACATTATGTTTGGTTGCTTTTATGGCGGCCGACCTAGAAAAATTACGTCATAAGAGCAAACTTTTTACTCAATAAAAATAGAATGATGTTTTATTTTAAAATTAAAGAAATTTATTTTTTAAATTATTACCCCACCTTCCATTTATTAAGATTGCAACATATATAGATAAGACCTTGAGTTACGTGAGACCTTTCCAGAGGAAAACTGTACCTTTTTTTCCCCCTGTTTGGGAAGGGGCAACTGAAATTTTTTCAAATATTTAGAATTATTATCTATAATTTTTAGGACAAAAAAATAAATTAGCCCTCAAATTATAACTTTGAGAGCATTTAGGTTCTAAATTCATTTTTGCTAACATTATTCCCCTTCAAATTTTGAAATTAATTAAAAAATGATATCAAAATTACATAAAAGGACTAAAACAGTACAGAACCCAAAAATTGCATTAGAGAATTCAAAAAATTACCCAAAAAAAAGACTAAAAAAATTTATTGATCATTTTCTACAATTTTTATATGCTTCTTTGTTTTATTTTTTTAACTAATAGTTAAAATTAACTTTATATTAATAATATGAGCTAGATTGCTTTGTTTTTAAAAATTGAAGGGAACAATGCAAGAAAAAAAAAATTAAGATCCTAAACTCTTTTAAATTTAATTTGCTCTATTACCCAACTTTTCATAACAAGGGAACACTTCTACAAGAATTGTCTCTCCCGAAAAAATGTGGGTTACAGAAACTGCCTTTAAAAAATTAGATGAATCATGTTACCTACCCCATTCTTGCTACCTAAGTATCTTGCAAGACAATTCCATAATCAACTTCTTTCCATTCTTTACCTTCTTTTCCATAACCAAACCGCTCCATACTGTCAATGAAATTTCCTTTCTATTTTTGTTGAAGAAGCAAACCGTGCTTCACAGTAATTTTGCGAGCATGTTGATGCAATTTAGTTCTTTTAACCCTTGAAATTTTATTGTTGTCATGTCACTATTGCTGATGCTTTGGGCATCTGCATCTCTTAGGTGCATGCAAAAATGTTCTTCAGTAAGGGCTGACATGGAACCACAAATTAATGCTCTGTTTCTGGTTACTTTGCATTTGAATTCAGCTCCGCAAGGCAAACATTGATGGTATTCACGTTTGAAGTTCTGATTTTACAATTCCAAAAATTTTTTAGGGTAGTTTTCCTGTCATCAATCTGCATCTTATAATAACGGCCGCATTTGTTGACTTGTTTCGTTGATATTGTTGCAGCCGAAATAGATCGGCGGATCTGGATTCAATCTGATATATATATATATATATATATGAGAAGGGTGAAGAAGTGAACAATAGTCAATCTTTTATCGTTGGATGAAGATATAAAATTAAACGAAAGAAGCAAGAAGAAGAGAATATGAAAGTTTATTAATGGGTTGAAACAACAAATGAGAGACAGAAACAGAGTGGAAATGAGCACTAATAAATGGCCCTGAGGGCAGGAAGGAGGAGGAGGAGGAGGAAGGTTAAGGATGAAAGAAGAGACAAAAGAGAAGCAGCAGCGACTTGATGGCAGAATCTGGAGAAGACATTGCAGACTTTGTGCCATTGAAGATGGGAATTGCCTTGGAAGCCAATCACTCCCACAGCTATGGCGCCTCCACAGGCTGAGAACAGCAATCCCACCATCACTGAGTCCATCACTCTCATCACTGCTTCAAGTCCTCTGCTTCTTCTTCCTCCTCTGCTTGCAACCCCTCCTACTACAGCACTCACCCCTGCGTACCCACATGCTATTGCATTCGCCACCACAAAGTACCTGGTTCATGCATCCACATCTTTTACTCAGCTCCTTTTTTCCCAGAAAAATGGAGAAATTAATGTTTTAAACTATTATAGAAAGAAATTCCATTTTTAGTAATTAGAAAATAGATTAGAAATATATAAAACTCATGACATGTTTAACCGCTTAGCTTAAGCTATTAAGATGAAGTAAGCAATTCTCAAAAGTACTTCATATAAAAACTCAACATGGTATCAAAAACTATTTCAAAGGCATATGAGACTAAAAAAAAAAGAGTATAATTCTAGAGAAGAAGAAAAAGAAGAAGATGGAATAAAAAAAAGAGTATAACATTAAGAGAGTATTAGAGAAAGAAATCTCACATCTAGTAATTAAAAAGTAGATTAAGAATATATAAAGTTTAAAAGATTTCTAATCAAGTAACTTAAATTACTTTAGTGAACCAGACAATCTTTTGAAACGCTTAATATAAAAGCCTGGCTTAACCTGATTTTCAATGATAGTGGACATGAGTGGAGAGGACTTACACGAAGGCAGACACGTAATGGTACTTAGCAGGAACAGGAAGGTTGATAGTTAAA